TCGATCTTCCTCCTGAAGATATTGGAAGATAGCAGTATTTTAGAAGAACATTGTATAAGCAAAACATCTTATTACCCACGACATCGATAGTCCCTTCAAGAGGGAGAGATCTACTAGCAACTTTGTACACCTATCGACAAAATCAAGAATAACGGACAGCAAGGCAGCTTCGACGTCGCGGCAGGCCTTGCTGGCAGTCCGTGCTCAGCACCACTGCGCTGAGTCATCTTTCATTCGCTTGCCAAGCTTTGGTTACCCCTGCGTGACAGCCTCCCCCGCATACTTTTAGTCAATCGCTGCTAGAGACGCCCGCGTTGTCCTGTCAACCTCAAGTCCCCGGTTGATTCGCTGTTTGAGGAGCGCGTTAGCTCGAAGCCAATCAATGCGCGTCATTTCTTTTGATTGACCGTAGGCGACAGGGGGACATACCTCACAGTCAACGCTTCCCAACAACAGACGAATGCGGACAACACTTGCCTAAAGACAGAGCTGGCAGCTAACGCGTGACAGAGTCCTTTGTACTGTTCTTTTCTTGCAGTAGAGAGGTTGAGTTCGGTAAAATTTAAGATAAGGCGATAAGTTTGCTTGTTCTAAGAAAGGCGCACTTTTAAACTACCCCATGAATTGGATGAGCATCAAATGACAGGAAAAATTGGTCCAATTTGGAGTCCAAAATTGGTGTACAACGTCTCCTGAACAGTAGGACACGCCAAATGCTGAGAGTGTAGTGAACCCCTCAGCTGAATCTTGGTACACTTGAAATTTGAGACCAGGCCGTGTGTGGTACGCGTAGACGGACTTTGCAACTTCGTCAGTGACTGCGACTGCGCCCCCCTCCCCGTCCGGTTGTCTTGAATTTGGCTCCTTATCCGAAGACAACGCATTAGGTTGATGCAGTGCAAATACGCTTCACTCAATCCTTGGTACTTAGTACACTTGCAACGGATTAGCTATGGCCAGCTGTAGTGGCACCTGAAGCAAGTAACGAGCAATGTGTGCTAACCTGAAAATGATCGTGCATTTCCTCAATTTCCCTCTGCATCTCCTCCAGTTCTTCCTTAAGGACCTCATTCTCCTCCATGACGTCCTGACACAGCTGTTCGACCTCGTTCAAACGCTGACGTAAGTCCCCACCTCCTTCGCCCTCGAGGGTGCCAAGGGCAGGGGCTTGTTTCGCTGAACCCAGATCTCCAGCCTCGACCTGATCACTTTCGGGCAGTCGGAGTCGCTCCCTGTGAAAAGGAGACAGAGGAAAAATTGCATGTAAGTGAAGATCACGTCGGGGTCACCAGTTCTGGTCAAGCTACAACGGCAGTGGCTACAAA